ATGTTACTGCATGTTCAGATATTAATTTTTTGTAGTGATTACCCATTTGATGTTTTCAAGAAAAACCATAATTGAGGAGTGTGCAGACTAAAATACTTTATAACAACGCTTGTAAACAAAATACCTTTTCAATAATTGAACAAAGTTGAAGACCTTCTTTGTCTTTAAGAGAGAATTTGAAAAGACGGACTTGAGTCTGAGCCTTGAGTTTAGTTGCAATGAGAAATCGTGTAATACGAACGATCACATTCATGCCTAACGTGAAGATTTTCTTCAACCCACATAACACACACTCAGGTCCTCCAGCCTGTTGCTCCTCGAGGTACCAAAAGCGTGTTATAAATCATGCGGACAAAGAGCTTTCTCTGTTGCCGGTCCTAAAATGTGGAACGAACTTCCAGCCGCAGTTCGACTGGCATCCTCCTTGGCAGTTTTTAAGTCTAGACTGAAGACACACTATTTTACCCTTGCTTTTAACAGTCAGCTGTTATTTTGGTTTTTACTACTCCTATTTTATCAATCATTGTAAGGTTTTTATCGGTACTTTTTTATTGGCTTGTTTCTTATTTGTTGACTGTATTTTATTGCTCTGTTTTATGTTTTTATCTCTGTTATTTGTGTGACTGTTCAGCACTTTGGTCGGCCGTATGGCTGTGTTTTTAAAGTGCTATATAAATAAAGGTGGTATGATATGGTACGGTATGGTATGGTATAACCTGCATTAGCTCCAGAAAAGAAGTACAAAACAGTCAGGTGAGGAAAAAGTCACACGGATCAACATCACAGGGAAAATTAGCATTCAAGGCCACCTCCACCTTCGCTTGTGACCATAGGCTGTGTTGATTTGGTGTCCAGGAGAGAGAAGAGCGTGTTTTTGCAAATCTTAGCTAACCACCAACATTACCAACTTAACAACATGGCAGAAGATGTTCAGGCTTGTATTTATGACGATAACACATACCGTCATTTCCGGACTTTAGAGCGCACCTCAATATAAGCGGCATCGGGCTAAAAGCCACAGATATCTGCTGAATTGAAAACGTAGTTTGTCAATGTCGCTCTCCGTGTTGCGGTCATCATCCCGGGGTGAAGCGGTGAAAATACGCAGCGCTGTTTTACTGTGAAAAAATTCCTCCGGGGCGCTTTCCGTAGCACTCCTTTCCAGCATCCATCCTTTTAAAGCCACGAACCTCATTATAAGCCGCGTTCAAAGCGTGGGAAAAAGTAGCGGCTTATAGTTCGGAAAATACGGTAATCATAGCGTTTTTACCCAAGAAAATATGTTTTACTGTGTTCTGAGTTTTGTTGACAAAACAGTAGAAGAGTCTTGTTGCTGTCACCTCAAATCCACACTGGAGGCATCAGCGGCATGGAACGGCAGTGAGATGGTTTACTTGTGTGCTTGGTGGTGCATCAGTCCCCACTGGGAGAGCATCTCAGGCTCAGAGGAGCTTCTCCGCCATCCTCCTTGCTGTACTTGCTAGATCACAAAATCCCTCGAGACTTCAAAGGTCACGATCTGTTTATACCATCTGCTATTAAAATAAGAAGAAGATGGAGATCACGTTTGATATCGCTCTTGATGTCATATATAATGTTGTTCCTCTCCACTGCCAGGATTAAAGCCATGAAAAACACACCGTTGCACTTCTTGAAAGATGCTGGTAGCCATTAGGTCACATGAACTGACATAATCTACATAGATAATGTTAGGGTCCCATTAGTCGTCATCACACACTAGTGAAATTACATCTCCGCATTTGACCCATCCCCATGGGGAGCGGTGAGGTGCAACAGTGGCTGCTCTCAGGAACTGCTAAGCCCCCCAGTCCAACCCAAGACCCCATAATACTGGTATGAAATTGAAGCCAACACGGAAGTGACAAAAATTGCAGTTCCACCCTCATCCACTGGGGGCTGGAGTCAGAGGCAAGCAAATCCTCATTGACTCCCATGTTAAAAATACTAATTTCACAGCAGAAATAAACATGTTTACAGCCTGGTTCCAAAACATGTTTTTTGTTTAAATGATCTAGTTTACACTCATGACAACTCTGAGGGGGGTGAATTTTTTGGTCGCTCCTCTGTTTAAAGGAGCATGGGGCAGGAACTGTCCAAAAACAAAAAGTACATGTTCATTCTTGTGAAGCTTATGGGTGATGAAGCATTTTAAACTAAAAAGAATGATGAAACCAGTTCATCATTCCATTTTGTTAATCAGGCTGTGTGCTGCAAAATGCAAAACTTTCCTGATCCGAATTTCCCGCGCTGTTTTATGGATATGACGTTAATTGACGCTTCAAGCGCGTTCTCGACAAGGTTCAAACCCGGAAAAACATTTGGAAGCTTGCTAGGTGGCGGTAATGCGTCTTTCACTACTAGCCACATTAAAACCCCAAACAGTAGAGGAAGAACCCTGGAAATGGATTCTACAACTAGCAAACGACCAAGCGCAACTCAAAGCCCACTAAAGAGTGGCACAAAGAAGAAGGTTTTGTCAGCGGCATCTCGAGAGTCAAAAAGAAAATATGATAAAAGTCGGTCAGGGACCCGAATATCTATTGGTTACGCTCTGGAAGAATGGAGGCTGCTTCAGCTGGAATTGGTGCCTGAAAAAGGATGCGGACAAGGCTCATTTTCTAGTGACCAGGTAAGAGTTGTATTAGCTGGTCTCCTTATTTCTGCTGTAGGTTTCAGTAACAAGTAGGTAAACATATCAGAGCTGTATCTGCACAATTTGAGAAAATAAAATAAAACTTATGGATTTAGATAATGCTGATTTAGGTAATCTAACAAATCTTTGTACAGATGAACAAGAAACTTATCTAAGCCTACGGTGTTTAGCATATGGCTTCCTGATCAGTTTGAAAAAGCTAAAAGCAACTAAGGAGTGACCGGATCACTTCTACATTTTGTGGACGACACCGCATTTTTTGGAGATAAATGGATGCTCCGTTTATTCTGATGAGAAACGTAAACAGAGCTTGATTTGATTATATGACGTCACCGCTCAGCCGGAGAGAGCTAGCGTGCGTAGCATGTTAGCTGCGATCATGTTAGCTGCGATCACGCTTCAGTTTGTATGTACCACCACAGAAGAGAATGGACATTTTCCAAACCAAAGATGAGTCTTTAGAATTATGTCATATTTGATCTACAGTCCAACCTCTAAGCAGGACTGTTACTTTAGTAGATAATGTTATCCGTGGGGTTTGTGTAACAGAACCCCATTGGAATATATTTCCCTAGCGCTATTGCTGTGCTAAATAAGAATAAATAATAAGTCAGCCATAACAACACGTTTGACCAGTGGCGGCTGGTGAAAAATATTTTTGGTGGGGCTGTGCAATTTTTTTTTAAACAAACTTGTGCTTTCTGAGCTTTGTGCACTACTTCACTATTTCCTGAATTAAGCACAGCTCTTTTATTTCCTGTCTTACATTATTGGACAAACTGATTAATCCAGGTGTGTCTGACTATTGGCAAACTGCCTTGCGGACCAAGGTTGAAAAATACTGCACATAAAATAACATGACCATAAATGGTAAATAGGCAATGCAAGAGGCAAGTAACAAATACATTTTGTTTAATTTCAACATTTGAGTGAACACGAAAAATTATGAGCAGGTCACTGTTACAGTAATGGAAGTAGACACTACTTAGACAAAATGCCAGAAATTTACACTGTTAGGACTTATGGAAAGTGGAAACACTTTCATAGGAAATAATGTCATCAGTATCCTCTTACAAATGCCATATTTCCCACTTTTTGGGACAATAACACATTTCTGGTTCTCAATGAGATGTTTTTACTTCAAATGTAAAAACATCTCATTGAGAATCGGAAATGTTTTATTGTCCCAAAAGCTGGGAAATTTGTTTGCTGCAGCAGAAGTGTAACAAGTAAAATGGAATCAGATTGCTGTATGTACAAATTTACTTGAAATACACATTTACGTGATTAAATATGTATAATAAGTATGTGTGTTGAAATGAGTTTTTACAGTTATTGCACATTAAACATGTTATTAAACAAATGTCCCGGTTTGTGGGACAACCAAGGATTTCTGATTCTGATTGTCTTGTTCACAGAAATGTAATGTACAGCTTACCTCTGCACCCAGCTGCTGTTGTTCTCCCTGTCCAAACGTCCTCCGTTTCTTTGTTGGCTGCTGCACTGATGCGCTGCATTCCTCAGTCAGAGAATGAATGGAGTCCCCAATGAGACACAAGTTCCACATCCACCTTCTGTGGATCCCAGCCGTTTTGAATAACAAACACAGAAAGCAAAATAACGCATTAGCGTGATTGCATCCAGCTAGCCACTGCTTCCTGGTGTACCAATTTTGGGAGAAGCGTCGTGTGTACAGTTTACCTCTCTCCTTGTCCTGCTGGCTTATCTTTACGTCGGGCTGATCTGGTCCAAGCTCTTTGACATTAAGTTTTTCCACCATAGTTCTCCTCTCGAACGGATACTGGAGAAGAGACCGAACAGAATTCAGTGGCTGCTGAGATCCGGTATCCTGGTTGTAGGCTCACTGGCGTCCATGTCTGCGTCTGCTCCATGTGCGTCACGAGTCACAACCAAAAACGTGCTGAAGTCGAGACTCTCCGAGTTCTACCGAACACCAACGAAAGCCTTGGCGGTAGCTCTATCGCCTATCATGCTTCTAAAACGTTCTGAAACAACGTCGACGCTGATTGGATACACCCTTTGATTTTCTTGTCAGCAATTGGACAGCTGGTCTCGTCCTGTTTGGGCGATTGAAAAACAGCACACAGCCTCCACCGCTCGGCAGAGACCGGCAGAGATCGGCAGAGACCGGCAGAGACCAACATAGATATATATATATGATTTATTTTTGTTACAAAACACACAATTAACGTAGAATATGTGATTATTGTTAATTTTGTTTATTTATTTTTTAAAATAAAAATTAAAAACAGTGGGGAAACTGGGAGGGCGGCGCCCTATCGCCCTCTACTGGCCAGCCGCCACTGCGTTTGACTAAAAGTAAAGTTGTGCAGAAGTTTGTGTTTATTTTTCTAAATTTGTCCTGTTGAATGTAGGTCAGAATAAAATATGTTTGTGAAAATGATAAATAATTTTTTTTATAACTGACCTGCATTTTCATATTACTAGTTGTGCCACAGGTAAAGATGCTTAGCCATTATTGATCTATGTAAACAGAAGGTGTAGAGTCTCAACCAACTTGTTGACATTTTTGTTTAAAAATGTGTTTTCCAGCTACCGGAAGAAGCAGGCTCCTGAAACTGCAATTCAGGGAGGTTATGTGAAGGCAACCTCGACACCCAGTAAGAGAACAGCAGCTAAAATGTTGCATCGATTATCTCCAACTGAACCTGTGTCTGAGGGGTTAGTATCTTTTCTGTAAAACAAATATTCACATTTTTGTGCTATGATATTTCATACATTAAATTACACCTTACATATCCACATTTGGTTCAGAACTAACATCACACCACCAAACACTTCTGACATTATCTTTACAGGGAAGATTTTCTAATGGCTGGTGTTGAGGCCTTAGCTGATGACCAAGATTTGGATCCTTTTGAAGAAAGGTAAATTTGTTCATGAGAAGTCTTGCCATATACGCAGGAAATTACTGCTGTACTATGTGCAAAAAAGATAAAAACACAATAGATAAGCAAATATAGGTCATTATATATATTTATTTATGTTGTGAAGTGTCATTTCACAGCAGATTGTTGTTATTTGCAGAAATAATTAATGACAGATGTATTAGGCTCCACATTTATCTCTTTAGAATCAGTACCATTTCAGGTAAGTTCCAGTATTTATCTTTACGTACAACAAATATTATTGTGTTGTCTGTAGTTTCAAATCCATGGATCTAGCTACGGATGCAGTCCAAATTGATGAGGGCCAAGCAAACAACTTACTCAACAGTGTGTGAGTTGCAGTGTCTTCTTATCTAGGGGTGGGCAATATAAACGATATAAGGTAGAAATGACATAAAATTGGGTAGTGATAGTTTTTGGCTATATCGCAATACGGCGATATTGTGATAACACATGACGTCACTAAGCTGTGCACCCTGCTGACAATGGAACAACAGTATGGCGGTGACTGCAAGCATGGGCTGTGTCTCAATTCAGGGTCTGCATCCTTCGAAGGACCCAGCCCACCCGGCCGACGTGGGCTGCGTCCTCCGTCGGCCGGGTAGACCGGATGTTAACGGCTGTGAATTTGGACAGGCCTAGCCTTCATGAACTCCCTCGGCGAACGTTCCGTCGCCTAGCAACCGTGGAACCGCTGGGCAGAAGGAACCTTAAACGATGGAGCTCGACGTTTTATTTAGCTTTTTAACCCCCAGAAACCCAAATTTAGAAAACAACTGCAAAATCTTTTTTTAACCTTTCACATGTTGTTCTAGGAGGCCAGATAAACGGGCCTATTTACACATTTTAACAGTCAATAGTGTTGCAGAACTGAACAATAGGACCTATTAGCAATGTAAATGTGGTTTTAAAAAGAAAACAAAATGGGGAAGGTTTATTCTTGTAGACTTAAATCTGATGTTGTAAAGTTACAACCGTGGGTCTCTGGGGGTTAATCATTTCCTTGACTGTTGGAGAGCTAATTCAGAGAAAATACTTTCGACAAGCTGAGCCTGAGCAAAGATGTGATAATAGTTTTTAATACTTTCTAAGGGTCTTAATTTGACCAAAACCGATTTATCACCTTTTAAGACTTTTCAAGACCCAGCGGATACCCTGTAATATTAAACAATTCACATTTGTAAACAAAAATAAAATTCAAGAGTTTAATGCAGAACTGATTTTATTTAGATATTTCTTTTATATGTACATGTTTAATCTTTATTAACCATTTTTTTCTAGCAAAGTAAAAAGCTGTCAAAGTTCTCCCTTCTCTCCTGTTTCCTCTGCAGCCTCATGTCCTCCCAGATCAGCTCCAGAAGCTGGTCATCGCTGGCACCTTCCCCTGGATGCCCATTTTCTCCAGAATAGTCTTAACAAACATGTAAGAAAAAGAAACAGGAAGAGAAAAGAGGACAACGGGTTATTCCTTTCATGTTTTCGCAGAAAAAATAAACTCAAACGAGTTTTTAAACTATGAGATGTTATTGTACCTCCATGCCACAGCCGCCGAATACTTTGCTCCGGTGATCATGTGGTCCATCTCCACCCTAAGCTTAATAAATTCCCTGGTTTTCTCTTTTGTTCCTAAAATACAAACTCCTATTAAAATCAGAGGGAAAACGTAGCGGGAGAAGTACGACACCGAGCTCGGCTGAACATACGAGCCGAGACCGCAATACAAGCACTTTTACTGTAACATTTCTAACTAAAATAACGTTCATGTATCACAAAAAGTCCTTGACCTAACAGTTTTCAAGTTTATACTGACATTTATATGCGCAATCCTCTCCGACAGCTCCCGCTTCACTGTCCGCCATTGTTTTTAAGTTTTTCTGCCGGCCAGCCTGCAAGGCATCTTGGGAAATGCTACCTATTGAAGGATACACCCGACCCATCCTTCATTCAGGCGAAAAGAAGGCCGCATTCGTCGACCGCATTTGAAGGAGTCTTCGAATTGGGACAGGCCTAGTCGCGGCGCTGTGACGTAACCGGCCGACGAATCCGGCCGACGTAGGATGCAGACCCTGAATTGAGACACAGCCATGGAGTGGGCGGAGGAGGAGGCCTATATGCCTCAAGTGGCATATATTTGCCACATGAGGATATGTAAAAGCATGTCAATTTGACATCTATAAACAGATGAAAAAATATATCGCAATGTATATCGTTACTGCACATGCTTCAGATTATATCGCAATATAGATTTGAGGCCATATAGCCCAGCCCTATTCTTATCTACACTCTTTTTTTAAACTCCAAAGTCTAAAAACAATATATTAATTCTACTTTTATTTATTGTTTTCATAACAGAATAGAACTGTTACGAAAACTTTGTCAGGCTGACAAAGTTTGCAGCCGCAAACAAAACGTTGCAGGTAAATAAAACCCTTCTATGTTTTAAAAAGAACTAAAAGATGGAATTGTTGTTTTATCCTTGTTCACAGGCTGGGATCCTAAAGGGAATTTCCATCCTACTTGTGTGGCTGAATGACATCTTCAACCAATTTTGGTACATTTGCCAGAAAGCACAACATCGTGATATGTTTAATGTAAGTATTGTGACATTTTTTGGACAACAAGACAACAATGCACATTGACATAATTACCTTTCTTTTCATAATAGTGCCAGCTCTCGTGTTTCTGTTGGTGAGCGCTTCTGTCACATGTAAAGTTTTCAAATAAAACTTATTTTTTCTGTTAGGACATGTGGGTGGGTGTGCTTCACCATGTCACAGGGAAGAATGAATGGACCCGTGGCAAATGTGACCATGGACCACTTGATGCAACGTGGCATGGTGCCAGGATCTCCACCACACGAGGCTTTTCAACGAATCATGTTCAACAGACGCTGGTTGAAGGATGTCACCAATCTGACCTTTAGGTATATTAATAACATTTTCATAAGCAAAAAAGCTAAAGTGTCAATATCAAAGCTGACAATTTACATATAGAAATGACAATTGTGGGTGAAAAGGCAATCAAAAGTGTGATTCCTAATAATCTATAAAGTTGTAGCTTTTGTTTTTTTTACAGGTCAACTTCAGAACTGGAGAGTTTCCAGAATTGCATTCTCATGTAATCCATGTATGATCTAATGCTGCTGTTTTCCTCTCTCCATAAAGGCCCCAGCTACGTGAAGCATCAAAAGACAGGAATTACTTCTTTCATGCACACAGATTTATTAGAAATTAAGAAAAAATACTATGTACAAATGCTAATAACAGAACTTTTTTGTACATAAATAAAAATAAATATATTGCACAAACTGTTTATTTTTGGGTGAAAATGCTGTCTTCAGCTAAAGTTATTTTGAGGTATTGTGCTGTTTTGGAACTACTGTAGTTGTAGATAAACGGTTTGGATCTTTGGGTTAGGGTGCCCTCAGTCAGGAAGATGGTGTCCTGGCGTCTCTTGCCGAAACTCCAGGATATCCAGTATCACCCCTGGAAGACGGGTCACCACTCTCGAGAATATAATCTCTCTCCTCCTGGCTCAGGTGTTGTAAAGCTGTCTAGAAATTAAAGAGCATATGTTTACATGACTAGATTCATATCTCCAGTGAGTGATGTTTTCGTTTTTGGCATCTATTATTTTATTTTTTTACACAAATGGCTACAACCAACCTGCATCTCAGCTATACTGGCAGCTCTCAGCTGTGCAAGCCGGTCTCGGTCCTCTTCTCTGAAAGCTGTTCGCTGCCTACCCCGGCGCCCGGGTCCTCTTGAAGGAGCTCTGGACCTCAACCTGCTGCCCTCACCCCTTGAGCGTGTCCTTCCCCGACCCTCGGAGCGACCTTTTCCTCTCCCCTTTCCTTTAGCCCCTGGTCTCAAACTTTCCCACGACACATCAAAGTCTGTGGCAGGCTCGGGCACACTCCATCTGAACTGTTTTCCATCACTCCTTCCAATGTGAATTCCTGAAAATCAATGAAGTAATGATAAAATGACTGTATTACCCTGTAGGTCTTGTTGATATTATGATTTTATTTTGATGCATTTTTGAACTAAACATTGATATTTATGTTCTTATTTACATTGTTGTGATGCCTGTCCTGTAATGAAATTGGTTTCACAAATGATGTCAGTGACTTGAAATTGGATGTTCTTACATGATGTATAAACAATAACATTAGCTTGTTAGTAAGCTTAGTGCAAAATAATAACTGTAATTTGTCTAAAAACATTAGAAATCACCTGCAGCCACAAAGCCTTATGCTGATAAAGTAGCATCATGTTACTGTCTTGCTGGCCAGTCACAAAACTGGCTTATGAATGTTTCATAGGAAGGTGCACTTGCTTTACATCACGAGTGTCATGACTAAATTAAAATGCTAATGTTGTCATGGAATTATACAAATATTAGACAAAAGTAACAATGTTACTTACTTCATCGCTCGACACGGTGCCTTGTTCGAGCCGCGCTCTGGCCGTACATCACAAACTTTTTTTTTCTATTGACGAGTTTGTGCTCGCTCTCGTGCCGGGCTGCAGTTACTCACAGCGCCGAGTGCGTCGCTAATGAGTTTCGTTTCTTCATCCTGCCCCATGCTCCTTTAAGTGTATTAAATGCCTAAAATTCTGAATAATTAATGAGCATCAGACCCACGTGACCACAGAACTAGCTACGGCGAAAGTCCTCAGTCTAAGCCTCGGTCTCATCTGAAAACTGTTCCGCGATTTTCAGTCTCTCAACTTAGACCATTAGTTGTGCCGTTTGTGTGTTCTTTTAGGATATTTTTTGTGCAATCGTTGGACAAAATGACTTGTTGTGGCATTAATTGCACTAATAGAGCATCCAGGGAGTCTCTACTTCATTTTTTTCGGTAAGTAAAATTATATTTATGTATTTTAGGTCACTGCCGCTCTTGCACTAGCTGAGCTTAGATTTTAACATGCACTGTTTAATCATGAAATGTAAATGTAACAGGGTAAAACCCAGTGCATTTAACATAACGCTGCATTTTAGAAAATGGACTGAAATATAACATGTTGGTGGAGCTGGATTCTGACTATCGGTATGGTCCCATCCTTGCAACTCGGCGCATCTCTGATCGCTGCAGCGCCTATCTGCTGCGCGGGCTGCCGGCATGGGGAGCTCTCGGATGGAAACCGATGTTTTCCACCCGGTTCTCCCCAGCGGCAGCTCAGCACATCTCTGATCGTAGCGGCGCTTGTCTGCTGCACGGCTGCCGGCTTGTGGAGCTCTCGGGAGACCTCTGTGTTCCACCCGGTTTTACCCAGCAGTCAGCCCGGCGTATCTCTGACTCAGAAGCTCTGGTGTTGTGCACAGTTAACTCCGGTTGTAGCTAGGTTGCTACCTCCGTTAGCTTAGCTACCACCTCCGTGTTAGCTTTGGGTTAGCTTGTAGCTACATCGCTTCAGTTCGACAGGTGTCATCATTTGATCCCAGCCATACAGCCCCACCCTCAGCTCCACCTCTCTTCCCTTTTTGGAATTTTCTGGGCTTGAAGGAACCTGTGCCACAGTCAAAATGGCGGTGGTGGCCACCTCCCATTTTGGCTTAAAAACTTATCATTGGAGCCTATGGACACGCATTGTCCAGTATATATGTCGATGATCCAACCCCGTAAGGCTGAATGTCAAGCAGGGAGGCATTGCATCCCATTTTTAAACACTTTGGTATGACTTGATCAGGATTTGAACCCCAATCTACAAGTCCCAGGGTGGGCACCCTACCACTATGCCACTGAGAAGGTCCGAAATAAGAAATCTAATTTATGCAACAGTCTTCTATTTAGAAAATTACTGAACATTTTACATTGAAACTGCGTGTGAATTCCTGTCCAGCCCTATGTTAACTGCAGGCACTGACATGTCCCAAAAGTGGCTCAGGGTAAAAATAGAACCCTATGCGGTGCGGCACGTTCAGTTTGGATCACCCTTATAGACAATAATGGATTCTAGACATAGACTTCCTTTTTATTGTCATTCAACAAACACACCATTGGTGTGCCTATCAAACGATATGTCATTGCTGGGCTCACAGTACAAATACATAATAATTACAGTACATAATAATTTCTTGAGTGATGTCTCCATACATGGCTAGGAATTGAATTTAAAAGCTTGTAAGAAGTTAGAAATAAAGAGACTGCGTGATCAGCTATTGCAGAGAGAGATAATATCGTAGCAGCATGTATTTAGTTAGGCTTTTGCACCAAAGAAATATCATAACAGCATATTAGTGCCGTGAGGTACTTGGGCTAGTGTGATCCATGTTGGTGAGTTGGTAGACTGAGGGTATTCAGCAGCCTTATGTCCAGGGTAAAGAAGCTGTCTCTTAGTCTGAATTAACTGCTGTTGATGCAGCTGAACCTTCTGCCAGAATTCAGTATCAAAAAGAGGCAATCTGAGGCAAGGCACTGTGCTCTGGTCAGGCTGGGCGAGTGGCAAAATGTTTTGGATGGAGGAGAAGGGGGTTCTCAATGTTTTTCTTCGCTGTTGCAGTGTTTCCCCTAGGAATTTTTCCAGCTGTGGCGGGTGGGTGGGGGTGGGGGTGGGGGGGGGGGGGGGGGGCCCTTGGGGAGAAATTATGACACGTCTCTGAATAAAGTAAAAATTTCCAGTGCAGATTAGAGACAACCAATAGAAGCACTGATTTGATCTCATTTCAGTAGGGCTGCAACTACTGATTATTTTCATAATCGATTAATCTGTCGATTATTTTTTCAATTAATCGATTAATCGGTTTGTTATTGTTTAGCTATTTAACCTATACAAGTGATGAATACATTTCAGTTAAGAAAAAGAAAAACGTAAGAGAATTGTGCAGTTGACGGCAATCTATTTTATTGCACATGAACACAGTCAGCGGTGTAAAATGAGCTAAACAGTGCAAAATATCAGTCCAGAATAATTTTTTGGCATCAAAATATGAGGTAAATTCCATAAAAAATAATGTAGAATCTAGAATAGAGTTTGTAAGTGGTATGCATTGCTGGGGGGTGAGTGTCTTGTTCCCCATGTAGTTGTCCATCGTTGCTCGTTTTTTTTCTGCATAAGAAACACAAATAGACTGAAATAAGTACGCATATAAAATAAAGCAGCACACACACTACAACACTAAATCAATATTACATTATTTGAATTAATTAACAATATACAGTGATCATTTATTTTGACAAAAATGTGTTGTGAGGCGTTTTACAGCGTTAGACAGTAAAACAGCCTTTTAATAGTAAAAAAAATGACTTTCTGAATTTCTCCTTTATTTAAAAATTGAAAGCGTACAACTATGCCGCGTTATATTCACCTGGACACAGCTCGTCTGTATATTTTTCTCCGCAGAGTTGTCCTTTTTTGAATGAGGAACATAGTTATGGGTTTGTGCCGTTTCTCTTAACGAGAACATTCTTATAAACAGATGTGCTAAATATGGCAAGCGCATGACACACAACACGGAGGAGATTCACAATTGCATCTAGTCAATCAGAGGTAGAACACCGTAGACTGACGCGGCAAAAAAACATGTTTAACATCCACTATAACGAACTCAGCTCCCAAATTTGATCTGCGTTAGCTTGTTTATTTTCTGTTACTTACCGGATTTACCGGACTTTCCTCTGCTGCATCAGCCCCTACATGTTTTCGTCTCAAATGTTCACTAAGGGACGTCGTGCCTCCGTGCCATGCTAGATGGTTTTTGCATATTTTGCAGGTCACCCGTCTTTTCATGGCATCTAGAGTGAAGTGCTCCCATACTCGTGAGGTTTTTGTCCAGGGTTTCTCTTGTTTTGTCGCTTCTATTTTTCTTCCGTATTTCTTCTTGTTGCGCCATCTCTCACAGCAAGATGCGCGTCAGTAACGTGTTACGTCGTGAAAACCGAGGGCACTTATTGGCTCGTTTCTTCTTCTACGGCTCCACTGGTAGATCAGTGGCTCATTACTGCCACACACTGGCGGCAAATTTAACAGATTGTAACCGATGTCAGATTGTGGTAAAAAATAGACTTTATGCGGTAAAATATGATTATTAAACAACTAATCGATGACTAAAAAAGTTGTTAACTATTTTAATAATCGATTATAATCGATTAAATCGATTAGTTGTTTCAGCTCTACATTTCAGAGAAAATAGCACAGGTCAGATGCACCTAATGAATAAAATTACTAACAAACTCAGGAATCTTTCTTTGCTTCACTGTTCTGGTGCTGAGAATATCACTAATGTGGATCAAAGGAGATACACAGATGAATGCACCTCTTATTTATTATTTGGAAACTACATTTACTGCAGCTGGCAGAGACAGAGATTTTTTCTATTGGAACACGGAATTTACAGAATCATTTTAAATTTTAATAGGGGAAGACTGCAGGAGGGAGCGGTAAAATACAGGGGGTCCCCAGCAAAAACAAGAAACTACGAGTCTGATAAAACCCGCTGGTTTTCCATCAGGCAGTCACGGGGCAGCTCCAACGACCCAGTGGCTGTGCTGGGTCAGTTATCGAGCCCAGTCCGGTACCGGCTCTGCCGTGAACGAGCAGAGGCGACGTCGTGCTCTGCTTAAGAAGAAGCGTTATTTTCCCGCTTCAGAAGAAGTATCCAACGTGTTTTTACGCTTTCTCCGAGACATGTCACGTCGCTAAGTTGTTAGCGCCGCGCGCTAACACGTCAATAGTGCAGCGTAGCCTGCTGGAGGTTTTAAGGGTTCAGATGAAAACACCCGACCTCTCACGCTGCTCACGCATCAATC